GGGGGGGGGGGGTGCCCCAATTTTTTTTTAATAGCTGTCATCAGCAGCTTGTCAGCCACTGAAGACAGCTATTAATTTAACAGGGACTGTCCGGGGAACAGTTCTGATATAAGTTCATGGATGTTAAAGCGACCATGACCTTATAGCAGAACTGTAAATGCCACCGCCGTAAAACATACTGACCTGGCCATTTGGGAACAGTTTTGTTCCGCCATATGCCTTATGTTGGTGGCAGGGAAAGGGTTAAACTAAAATAAATATACACCTGGCCAAAACAACAGTCACCACCTAGATTTTTGGGCAGTGTCATCTGGGGTTGCTTAAGTCCACATTTGTCTTTATGTCCCCCAGCTGCCTACCTGAATATAGTGAATGAGCAGGTTATTCCATCAATTTATTTATTTTTTCTTCCCTGGTGGCACAGGCACATTCCAAGATGACAATGCCAGGATTCATCAGGCTCAAAGTGTGAAAGAGTGGTTCAGGCAGCATGAGACATGACTTTCACACATGCATTGACCACCACAGTCCAAACCTTAACCGCACTGTAAATCTGTGGGATGTTCTGAAGAAGACTTTTCGCAGTGGTTCAACTGAAAAATTAATGCAACTCGGGTCAGAAATAAATATTGTGACATTTCATAATTTCTGAAATTATGCCACAGTGAATGCGTGCCGTAATCAAGGCTAAAGGTGGTCCAAAGAAATAGTGTGTGTGACTTTTTTTTTGGCCAAGCAGTGTATATGTAATAAAAGCTTCTTATTTGCCTGTTCACCATATTCTTTAGAATGTACACTGAACTGTGCATGCACAGCTCAGTCTGCAATGTAGGCATACCTTGGTGTCAGCATGAATAATATCCCTGCACATTCACATGAGTTATATCATCCCAGAGTGGCAAATCAAACTTTAAAGAAGACAAGGCGAAGATGACTACACTGGAGCTTGCAGATATCTCATCGCTAGAGGTAAGGATAGAGGATTTTAGTTCAGCTTTAAGCAAACATGCTTTGTATATTCAGAATCAGGAACATAAAGTACCAACCTGTAATAAACCAGCAAACTTCACAACACCCCATCCAAGTCTTTTGCTATCTGGTTCCACGAGGCTCATCTGATAGATATCAACTGCCAAAAATCTTTGCACTTGGTCTCCATCCTTTGGAATTACTGTGCATGCAATCAAATCACTGTTATCTGAGCAGGAAAAAAAAGGAATCAGCTTTGAGTAATTCAGACTACTGCCAGTTGATACAGCTGCTGTACATAAGAGACAAAGAATCACATTCATAGAGATAGACAACCAATATACATTGTTTACTAATCCAAAATGGGAAAAAGAACAAAAGAGAAGGGCGCCCACCCTAGTGTAGATTGTTTTTAATATTTTAGAATGTACACTGAACTGTGCATGCACAGCTCAGTCTGCAATGTAGGCATACCTTGGTGTCAGCATGAATAATATCCCTGCACATTCACATGAGTTATATCATCCCAGAGTGGCAAATCAAACTTTAAAGAAGACAAGGCGAAGATGACTACACTGGAGCTTGCAGATATCTCATCGCTAGAGGTAAGGATAGAGGATTTTAGTTCAGCTTTAAGCAAACATGCTTTGTATATTCAGAATCAGGAACATAAAGTACCAACCTGTAATAAACCAGCAAACTTCACAACACCCCATCCAAGTCTTTTGCTATCTGGTTCCACGAGGCTCATCTGATAGATATCAACTGCCAAAAATCTTTGCACTTGGTCTCCATCCTTTGGAATTACTGTGCATGCAATCAAATCACTGTTATCTGAGCAGGAAAAAAAAGGAATCAGCTTTGAGTAATTCAGACTACTGCCAGTTGATACAGCTGCTGTACATAAGAGACAAAGAATCACATTCATAGAGATAGACAACCAATATACATTGTTTACTAATCCAAAATGGGAAAAAGAACAAAAGAGAAGGGCGCCCACCCTAGTGTAGATTGTTTTTAATAAGAAAAGCTGCAAGACAGGGTAAAAACATACTCACAATAGTAGATCGGAATAAAAGCTTTCAAACAAAGCATGGACAACATCAGTAATAGGCTGCAGAGTCACCTGTGTGTCAGCAGAGGACTCCTTCGTTTACGCGTTTCCGGGGCCACGCCCCCTTCGTCAGAACGTGACCTCAACCTCACTCGTGCAACAATATATAGTAATGCATATTAATACGGGGCCAATGAGCGGCGCTCAGTGATATGGGGAGCCGCCTCTCGGGAGGGCGTCATGGTTGCCATAACAGTAATACAGCGCTTCTTCCGGCATCCTCCTCTAAAGGAGATGCCGTGCCAACAGGCCAATCAGCGGACTCACAGAAATGCCAAGCCCCTAGTCTCTCTACAAACTCCCACTAGACCGGCCGGCCAATCACCAGGGGATATGATCGAAATGAGCCAGCATAAACTGACTGTGTGGAGAGAAATAATAGGAGACAACCAATAGATAAGGGCTCATGGACGTATAAGAAACAAGGGGCCTGGTTGCGACAACAATGCTGTAAGTGTGAGGATGAGGACCAGGACATAGATATGCTAGTAAAAACATGCTAATTAAAAACAAACACAAATTCTTCCAAAAACACTTTATAAACGCATAAAAACTGATTGATCCAATTAAATAAGGTTTTTCAAAAATACTCATTGGAGAGGACTGAAATGGGCAGACTTGTGTCTAACACAATAATTAGGATGGGTATTCAGAAGAATCTCATTAGATAGACTACAATTTTAGAATGATGAAACAAATCATAATGAACAGATGGAGACAACATCCACGGTATTAGATAATATTGAATTAGACACGAGTGGACCACTAGGATACATTTCCCCTCATATAACAATATTCAATAAGTCAAATCTGGAAAAATTAGGTACCATAATGGAAACAACTTAGTATAAAATGTAAAATATACGAATGAGAAATAGATCAAGATGAAATTATATTGAAGTTATCATATATTGCAGAACAGATCGTCGTCAGTGAATGTAGTCGCTAATCATCCATCCCACTGGCAATTCCCCAAGGGGAAGATATGATGGGCCAAGAATTATTATATGAAATAATTATGTGAATAATGTTTGCATATAGATAATGACATTAGCCAACATAATTAAAGGGAGGGGAACCCCCTATTGTGACAGAAAAATTAATATATATGAAGTGTGGGAAATGTTTGACCTCGCTGACTACTGACAGTCAACCTCTCTTTGGACTGTCAAGAGGATTATAGTGATGAAGCCAATTCTAGGCCCTCATTAAGACCATGGGGATGAAGACTGTTCAGGGAGTAGATCCAAAAGGCCTCCCTCTGGCAAAGCCTCTTGAACCTGATGCCTTCATCTAGATTTTCCGGGATGGCCTCAATGCCAAAAACTCTCATCATTGGCCACGTATTAATATACATTACTATATATTGTTGCACGAGTGAGGTTGAGGTCACGTTCTGACGAAGGGGTCGTGACCCCGGAAACGCGTAAATGAAGGAGTCCTGTGCTAGCACACAGGTGACTGTGCAGCCTATTACTGATGTCGCCCATGCTTTGTTTGAAAGATTTTATTCCGATCCACTATTGTGAGTATGTTTTTACCCTGTCTTGCAGCTTTTCTTATTAAAAACAATCTACACTAGGGTGGGCACCCTTCTCTTTTGTTCTTTTTCCCATAGTGTTGCAGCTCCCCTGGCTGAAGTGGGGCAGCACCCCTAGCAATCCTCGTTTATATATTTTTCAATTGGTGGTCATAGTTTGGCGCTTTTGATTTGTTTAACTTGTTTACTAATCCATAACAACCAATTGGTAAAAATTCCTCATGGGTTTAAATGTGCCAAACTTAAAGGAGAACTATGAGGTGAGTGAAAAGAGCCAGCTGTCAATCACGCAGCTGGGTGGATCCAGACAGTATTGTCGGGATCCGTCCCGTCTGCGGCGGTCTCAGCTACAGCTCGCGGTATACTGAGCTTTGAGTCACGGGAGGACGCTAGTTTGTGTCCTCCCATGACCCTGGGCAGAACTATAGGGAAAAGCACTGACCCCATAGTTCTGCTTTAAGAAACGTGGCTGTTGTAAGTTTATGGAAGAACGTAGGACAAGGGTTGAATGTAGCACAAAGGGTGCTCATAGACATGAGGGGAGCACATTTAAATTTCAGCTGTATCAACAACCCCCTCATACCTATAATAAAAGCAGCCCTAGCCAAACACTCTAAACGAAATGCGATCTCACTGCTTAGAAAACCTTGCTCGATTTTTACTATTCCCTACAGATTAGCAAATACAAAAGCTTTCTGCTGCACCTTGCTTCCCCTTTATGGAAAAAAATAAACCTGTGTGCTTGGTATAACCAAGGGTACACTTACCACATATAAAAACAGAAGAGCATTACTAACTTCCTCTCAAAAGCAGTGATGGTTTCTTGCACCCTCAAAATTTTGCATGAGCCAACTCTACCCAACCAGCTATACTTTGTAGAGGTGCACTTCCTGTCAGCTATATTGGAGGCTTACTGCACACATTCTGTTCCACTCGTGGTTTTTACACCACTTCTCTCTGCTTCCCTCCTTAGTGCTGTTCATTGCACAGATCCCCTCCTGATCGGAGCAGTACGGATTGGATGTCACTGCTGTGACATTCATGTCTGTCCAGTTTTTTTCTCCATCTTACAATGGAGGAAAGAACTAAAACTGGCGGACTCCTTGTTGCTCTATGGGAAGTCAGATGTAAACAGACATGTGTCCATTTACATCAGATTATCTCTGATCCAGCGTGATCAGGTCTGGCAACACTGTTTTTTGGGGGGATCTGGCCAGAGTTGGGGGTAACTGGGTGAAAAACGGATATGGTGACTAATTCGATAGATATCTCATAGATGTAACACACACATCACAGTATCTTAGTGGCAAATTTCCCTTTGGACCTGATTTGGTGGACAAATAAATCCCCTCTCCCCCCCTGAGCAGCAAAGAGAAGGGAAACAATCATGGATTACAGTAAGGCACACATTACAGTATTGTCTTATGTTAAAAAATCTGAGGGTTTAATGTCACTTTAAGATGACTATTACCGCGATAGTTGCGAGTAATCACTATCGCAGAAGGGGTCCTTAATCTATCATTCATAATTCATTTGTATATTTCTTATTTTAAACCTTTTATTAAATATTAAATTTTAAGGAACAATTTTTATAAATAATAATGTTTTATATTTATGTATACATAAGTGGGCATATACTATTCTGATGTATGAATATACAAAAGTAGCCTAGCACAGATGTCTAAAACATCCTTTTCCACAACTGACATAGGAGTATATATATATATGTTGAGAGACAGAGGCCTAATACCCTTTTGAAAAAGTCGAGTGCGACGAAACGCGTCAAGGATAAAGGACAGTATTGGCTCCATCTCTCACACATCATCGTGCATATACGGCAGAGTGGTTTAATATTGAAACGTTTTTACTCATAGAATCTTGTAAGTACGGATTTTACTTTGTGTACAATAAATGTCTTAATTGCTGCACTTAGGAGTTTTACCTCTTTTTCTTCGTTAAAATTTCCTCCTACCATCAGGGGATATCCCGGTGGACGGATATTGCATCTACCCGGTACATGAGGGGTTAACCAGAGGGGAAGGCAGGATCGTTGCTTCAGCTGGTCTATTAGATCCAGAATTAGGAAACGGATGAGAGAAGATAACTAGAAGGAATCGATGAAGTGACTCTCTCAAAACTCACTTCTTCAGCGGATCCCAGGATAGAATCAACGACAGATAAGTACTTTTATTCCTCACAAATTACTGCTCGCAAGTCGGGGCGATATAGATGACTGGCCAACTGACTTTCTCCGACATTAAGATGGACCTATGTGAGGATACACTAAACGGTGTCAGGATATACAAAGAACTTGCTGATTTTTTGCTCACTGATTGGAAATATACCCCAGATGTAAGATTACATTCTGAGACCAACTTCCCTTGGAGATTTCGGGCAGGTAGATCAAAGCATTTAACAGCTGAATGGTTTAAGAGGATAGCCCCCTCTCATTCGGTGTCTCCACTTGACCTTTTTTATATTGTTTGCTATATTGTTTAGATGATCATTTTATATTGGTTTGCCATATTGTTTTGGTTTGCCATATTGTTTATATTCACAAGCTTATAAGTGGGACAGAATACTTCACCACAAGTTTACACTATAACTGTTTTAAACACTAGAAACAAAAATATTTTTCTTCCTCCTAAGGATTGGGGGAAACAACACTCAGTCACACTTTTCTATTTAATAGCCTTTATTAACACAATAGAGGATTTGCACAGTAAGAGCTCACACAGGCTTTTCGGAAATCATTTCTTTATAGAAGGAATCACTGTATTAATTTAATTCATTCATTAATCAACAATGCAAGAGAATATGCAACAGCTCACGGTCACATATTATTATAGGATGCATACCGTGTTTCCCCAAAAATAAGACACTGTCTTATTTTTTTTTTTTAATGTACAACAATCCAAAGTTAATGCAAATCCAAATTAAATAATCTAAAATGGCAAAGTTAAGAATAGGGTGATCAGGGCAATCAGGGGTGCCATACCTTTCCAAGAGCAATTTGGTAACCAGAATGAGCGAAGGGCACTTTCACTATAGATTCCTCACAGGCATAGTGCGTTTGGTATCACTCCGCCTGTGACAGGAGCCGGCGCTATAGAGGAAACATCGGCTTATGTGGCTCTGCTTCCTCCGCTGCCGCCTCGCTTCCTCTAACGCTGCCTTTGT